TGGCTTCATAGTTGAGAGCAAGAGCCTAGGCGACTCCAGATCAGCCTTCCGTCAACAACGAAGTCAAGCAGGTAGATCCTTACGACAAGAGCCATCATGACACGGAAGTTCATTTTCTCTGGGATTCCATTTTCTGCACCAGCGACTTCTGTTCCGCTGGAGACCACGGTCTCGGGCTTGACCTCGAAATGCCTGAGCTCGGCGGAGTCCTTCTTTTCGTCGGTAGAATCCATCTTGGACCTATTCGGCAGGGGTGAGAAACCAAGATTCTACTGATAGAGAGGGAAGGTGGTGGAAGGTTGGAGTGTGATCTTGACCACGATTCGAAGGGAGTAAAGGCATGTTATGTTTCGCGTACGCCCCCCCCCCCCCCCCCCCCCCCCCCCCTGGCACCCCTTGCAATACCTTTACCCCGGGAATCCGGTCACTTGGTCGAAATCGAACTATCCGTGCGAGATTCCCACGTCTGGACCCCCGGGACAGCTCCCCGCGTTTCGGTTTGGATGCCGGGGGTTGCAGTGCCCAGCCCCCGCAAGTTTTCCACTGAGAGAAAGAAGAACTTGGGGAAGTGGAGGGTTTCGCCTATATAGTTTAGATCGCCTCACTTGACTGTGTATCTGGGCACCCTCTATTGGCTGCTTTCCCAACCTAGAGTGACTAGTGCACGTTGGTCCTCTCTTAACAATGTGACCCATTTCAACCGAATTCCCCGTCATTTCAACTTACAATTCTCCCGCTCAAGCAAAATAATCCCTGTTTTTTCCTTTGGCGAGCTTGCAATAGCTGGAAACGGCTCTACACCCCACGAGACACGTGGCGACTTCAAGCTTTCTCTGCGCGAGATACCCTAACTTTGTGACTTCAGCGAAGTGTTGGGGACTGGCGGCGAAGAGTGCTTGGTAACGGCGTCTGCAGATCGGCCCTTTCTTAATGTGGTTCTGCCAATCTCTGGCGAAGACTGTACTGTGAGGTGACTTCGAATTGAGGAACCGGACTGTCGGACAGGTGAGATACCATTACCGAGACAGCCAGAGACATGATCCGGCCTTCCTCGATACCCCAAGATATATCAAATCGCCACAGCCAAACAACTTCGAGCAAGTCCTTGTACGATGGCACAACACAAAGTGCTTATTCACAGTCGACTTGTCGCTTCTTCTCACCGGATTCTGGCCCCTATGCCGTGGTCCACAGGTCTGGATTTTCAACTACAAGTAGGGTCGTGGCGCGCCCACGAACACGTTCCTGGGATGGGATAACAACCACCTGAGTGTGCTAAGCTCTTTCGCGTTCTGGGCACGTCTGGGCAAGATGAGCAGCGTTGTGCCATGTTGTTGAACGGTCTAGCCACATTGCAACTCCTTATACAACATCCCCACTCGGTCCGGCACAGTTCGGATTGTCGGATTGTATCCTCTGGCTCGTCGAATAGGAAACATTCACATCCACAGAACATGGGTTCGGACAACTACATGGCTCACGAGTCTGCGACAGCTCACAAGACCGGCTAGACGCGGCCAGAGCATGGGTTACGCCAAATGACTTCTCTTCAACCCTCTGGTTTTCAGCCGGTCTACTCGTATCTGAAATCTGTATGTTTCGGTAACGGCTACCGAGACTGGCCTCCCACCTTTTGCTGAAGATCACTGTCAGGGTTCCGAGCCTTGTTGTCTGCTTGTTATCTCGTCCTGGGCCACCACCTGGCATACGCTTTCGTGACCCGAGACACCCCTGACGCGTTCGGATTTCCAACCAGAATAAAATACTTCTTTTTACACCCTTGGCGACTGTACGGGCACACGGGTATCGGTTACTTGCTAGGAGTCCCAGCAAACACACGCCCCCTCGAGTCGGTTCTTGTTTGCTTACAATATGATGACATTCCGCCCGAGGATCGAAGGATGGCGGTTCTGACCCCCGCTGTCGGGCTCCTCTCAGTAATACCCGGTTTATTGGGATATTGAAAACAACCCAACCTCGGTTATGGGAAGTTGAGGGTGACCAGCCAGGTATGAACATAACTCGAGTATTGAGCACGACGAGTACAGGAGACTCAATAGTATCGTGCCACGCGCGACATGAATCTTGATAACGAGACTTTGACAGTCGAATTTCATTTCATTTGGAGGTCGCACTACATCAAACTAGGGAGGGGCTAAGAAAAAAACAAAAAGCTCGAATAATGCGCCCATGGCCGGTTTTGAGTCCATTGAGGATGTGATCAGTAGGCGGCGATCTCAAGTTCCCCAAGGTCACCCTTCTGGTGCCACGAATCCAGAAAGTCGAGAAAGTCCAGCGGACCTGCCATCCACGTCGCCTTCCTGGCCATCTTTGCCTGTTCCTCGCCCGAGACAATCTGTTGCAACTCGCCCTCCTGGTTGTAGTAGCTCGGGGTGCAGCCGGCGGCCAGCACGCCGGCGAGCGCCCCCTTGGAGACACGATCGGTCCATGCCTCCTCGGCGGCGTCTGTGGGCTCAACAACGACCTTCGCCTCGCCCGCGGCCTTGGCCTTCTTTCTCGCGTCCGTGATGATCTGGACGGCGTGTTTGCTCAGCGTGGACAGGTTGACCATGTAGTTTTGCGACGACATGGTCTGCACCAGGCCAAGCCAGAATAGGTTCGGGAAGTCTCTGCTCATGACGCCGTGCAACGTCGCGACGCCTCGGTTCCACTTCTCGTCCAAAGAAAGCCCATTCCGCCCAGTAATGGGGATCGCAGCCTGGGAGGCGGGTGAGTTCGATGCTTCGAATTCAAACCCAGTGCTAAAGATGATCAAGTCGACCTCGAATTCTTCCTCGCCCACAACAAATCCTTTCTTGGTCAGTCGTGTTACGCCAGCGCCGTGGGTGTCCACAAGGCGGACGTTAGCCCGGTTGAACGTGGGTAGGTAGTCGTCATGAAAGCAGGGGCGCTTGCACCAGCTAGCGTACCACGCCTTGAGGCTGTTCGCCGTCTCGGGGTCTTTGACGACCTCGTCGACGCGTTCTCGAATGCGTTTAGTCCGTTTCATGTCCATGTCTTCATAGTATCTCACGAATTCTTCGAGCTTATCCTTTGTCAAATCTTTCGCTCGAGGCCCTCCGCAGAGCGCCGCAGAGCTGTGGAAGGCCGTCCACTGATCTTTAACCAGGTCGGGGGTGTCTTCTTCCAGAGGGTCAGACATGTTATACAGAAAGTTCTTGATCCTTTCAGTTTGCCAGTTGGGGGATTTCATCTCTTTTTCCACCGTCTCTGGATCTGTTGGGTGCTGGCCACGAATATCAACCCCGGCGGGAGTTCGTTGCACGACATAGAGCTGGCTCGCCCATTTTCCAAGCTCAGGGACAGCCTGGATTGCCGAAGCGCCAGTGCCAATGATGGCGACTTTTTTATCCTTGAGGTTGGTCATCTGCCAGTCCGCAGAATTGCCACCCGTATATTCATAATCCCATCGGCATGTATGAAAGATGTGGCCGGTATAGTCTTCGATCCCAGGGATCGCAGGTAGCTTGGGTCGGACAAGGAGTCCGGGCGCGAGGAGGAAGTAATCTCCGCGGATAGTGATGGGAGTTGGGGTCACTTTATCATCCTTGGTCACCACTTTAAAAATCCACTCCTTGCCCACTTCGTCCCAGGTGGCAGCTTCCACTTCCGTTTCAAATGAGGCTCTCGACCCGAGGCTATATCGTGACGCAAGGAGATTGGCGTAATGGCGGATTTCAGTGCCGTATGAATACTTGTGTTTAGGCACGTATCCCGTAGTTTCCAACTCCGGTAGGTAGACGTAACTCTCGACATCACACATCAACCCTGGGTATCTATTCCAATACCAGGTGCCTCCGAAGCCGGCGGCGCGGTCGATCAAGATGATATCTTCGAGGGGGACGCCGGCCTCGAGAAGGTTCTTGCCGTACAGGATCCCGGCGAAGCCCGTGCCCAAAATCACAAATTTTGAGTGCTGGCCGTCGTGCAGGGGAGGCGTGAGCTTCAAGTCATGAGGATCACTCCGAACCCACGGGTCTGCGCCAAACTTCTTGAACTTGTCCGAATCGAAAACACGGAGGAACTGGGACCGGCCGTCGGCACGGACTCGCTTTTGTCGTTCCTCCGCGTACTTGGCCTTGATGGCGTTGCGTTCTTCTTCTGTCAAAGACATATCTGTATCCGGGAAGTCTTCGACTTGGATGCTGACAAGCTAAGGAAGAGGAGTGCGCGCGGGCAGAAGTATGTAGTTTGTATTGGTTTTTGCTTGAAGTGGATGCGACGAGGTACCAACCGATCCGCTTCAAGCGAAGTCAAAAAAAGGGGAGGAATATCAAAAAAACAATATAGGTTCTCAGTAGGTACATATCCGAGGAGGTCAGCCCGAGGAAGGCCACTAGACACCCGAGGGCTCATTCAGTGAAGAAAACCGGTATCCAATCATCCAAGATTGAAGTGTGTGTATAGGCTGTAGCTGAGTGTTAGGCTTTCGGTTACTCTGAGCAACATCAGTTCTTGGCTCGCTCGACATGGGTGGGATAGACCAGCAACCTGGGGGTGTCCCATGGGCATGATGGGGCCCTCAAAATTCCGGGGGAGGGTTCGAGGAGGAGGGCGGGAGAACCACTATTGGAGGACGGGCTGAACTACCGGATTGCCCCCTTTCGATCGTTGTGGTCTGGGGGGAAACCGAATACCACGGGGATTCGGTCCGCTCTCGGACACATACTTTCTATCGCTCCAACGGACAGGTCTGTACCAGGACTCCACCCTATCACGAATGCACATAAATAATTTAGACCATACTTGTATTATTATAGGGCTGGTACCATTATCCGTCTGGACCCAAACCCTCAACACACTATCCTTCCCGGAAAAGCCACGCCACCGAATACAACCCAAATTGCTCCAAAGTCTAGTTCCAACATGAGTTCCGAAGGCAATGTCGCCTTCATTACGGGCGGAGGTAACCGATTTGGGATTTCCCTTTCTGGTTGAACTACGATCATGTCTGACATAAGCCTCGTATAGCATCTGGCATGGGCCTGGCGACGGTCGAACGATTGATAAGCGACGGCTGGAAAGTAGCCGTCTTCGACTTCAACGCTGTCACTGGCGCCCAAGTCGCCGAAAGGCTCGGACCCAACCTTCTGTTCCTCCAGGGAAACGTAGCGAATTATGACGACCAGGCCAAAGCATTTCTCCAGACTTGGTCGAAATGGGGGAGGATTGATTTTGGTAAGTCGACGCTTTCTGATCCATCAAAGTCGGACATGTGCTAACTTGCCTCTGTAGTTTGGGCAAATGCGGTAAGCATCAGGGGCGGGATATTTCCCTCATTATCCATGCAAATAGGTACTGACCAGCGTCTGGTAGGGCACAGGAGACCGTACACAATTTTTCGCCGACGCCAAAGAAACTGAGAACGGGGCACCTCCCGCTCCAGATCTGCTGGCCATCGACGTCTGTCTGATTGGTGTCTTCTACACCTCGTACCTGGCTCTGCATTACTTCAAGAAAAACCCTGACCGGAAGGGCAAATTGATTATGACGTCCAGTTCCACGGGGATTCACGCGCATTACATGTTTCCCGCATACTCGGCCTCAAAGCATGGTGTAAGTGCAGACAAGCATAAAATTTCTCGGTTCAAAGGGACATCCGGAGGTTGACTTTTGTTTTCTTGCCATCGGGCCAACAAAAGGTGATTGGCATGACACGATGTCTAGGCAAACAGATGAGAGTACTGAGCGAGAAAATCACGGTCAACTGCATCTGCCCCGGGTTGGTGCCGACCGCCATCATCAGTGCGAGCTACGTCGCAACAGCTAATCAAGACGCCATCACGCCTCCGTCACTGATTGTGGACTGTGTCTACAAGATCCTGGGTGACGACTCGCTGAACGGAGCCTGCCTCGAGGTGGTGGGAAAGGAGATCATCGAGCGGCCAGAACCAGCTCCAGCGAATTGGGCGGCCGAGTATCTCTTGGGCGACGAGTTTGCCGCCGTCACCCGCAAAGCCGGCGAGATTGACAAAATTTACCAAGGCGCGGAAGACAAGAACGAAATGTCAGTCAGGTAGAGACTCACTTGATCCACAATGAAGAGCATGGCAGGGGATGACAGGCGCGGACAGACGCGGGGAATCACACCGAAGGAGGATGAGGCAAGCGAGTCCTTGTCGGTAAGCCACCAAAATTCCAAGGTTAATCGCTTGTGTTTTGGCTTGCCATGGCCTAGTGCAAGCACGAGTCGCTCAGGGCATTTACACGTGTAGACAGTGGCATGTAATGTGTCAGTGAGATGACAACACCATCCTCTCTACAGTACCCAATATCCGGTATCTAGTAGTTGGGATCCCTACACGTACAAGTTACATCTGCGGATGCCATCACCGAAACCCAAGCCTCTGAAGAAATCGATGTCATTTCATTCTGAATACAGACTGTCACCCCTAATGCGGGGCTAGACCCAATTCTTTGCGTATGTTTGAACTCTATTTCCACAGCAAAAAAGTAACCACATGAATAAGTTCCCCGGCCTCGCTGGCCCAATAGCGAGTCATTCTTATCGAGGGCTGCTCGTGCCACGATCTTGTCTCTATCCTCCAGCCACATATACATACGCAAAGCAACAACTTCTGCTGGGCAAGAAATCCCGTGAGGATCCGTTTGGCCTCATTTTCCCTCGTTCCAGACGCACATACTTAGGCAGGAAGAGGAAGAACGAAGACCCAACAAAGACTCTGGTGCGGTTTTCGCGGGGGTGAGGGAGACCCCCGCGAATCTGAGAAACAGGCCAAGATTTGCCATGCCGGGGTAATAATCCACCTCCACATTGTTTGGGGGTGAGGGAGGGTTGGATACCGAACCTATGTACCTCGTACCTATAGCCTCGGGGAATCTACGAGTCGTTGCCCTGGGAATTTGCCGGTACGAACCTCTCCATGCCCACACTTTCCCCCGCAAGGAGCCGCAAGGGACACGGCGCTCACGCCACGATACACAGACCCGTTCATTATTATTGCCATTAATTATTGCTATCGATCCCGTTCGCGGGGCACTAGCCCATTCGACAATACGAGTTCTCTCGTATCCGCCGCAGCTTACCAGGGTCACATCTTGTGGATTGAGGGCCTTGTCTCCCTGCAATAATCCTTCCAGGCGGACGACTGGATGGTTTACACATGCTGTCAAGCCATGTCATCGAGGCGTGAATTCACTTGCAGTGTGAACTATTAATTGTGGACCTGGTTGAGCTTGTAGGAACGATCAATTGTGGGAGGTCGTCTTGCACAACTCGCACGATGGCAACTGCAGGGTCGACTGGTTCGAAGACGTCGTGTGCGTCTACATAGGTTTGAGGTGAGGACAAGAACGAAGAAAGAGATTGTGCAAATCACAAAGTGCGGCCTATCTGCAGTCTCTCGATGCTTCAATGCTCCCACCGCCTGCTGGGTAGAAGTCCCTTCGCCCGTTCGTTTGTGAGCATTGATAATCTGGCCATCTTGCTGTACTGTAGAATCTCATGGTAAAATGAATGCAGGCGGACAAGTCTATCAACTCCATACCACCTTGTTTGCCACTCATGCCTCCACGCATAAGGCCGTGGTCGAGAGCAAACGAAATCTCATTTACCTCACGTTGAGGAGTGTCAGGGCTGGATATGGATACACTCATCGGACTCTGGGTATATCTCCTAATGCTGGGTCGCTTCAAAGCTTCTGAAATGGCGCCGTTCACTTTCGCTCGCCCATTCTTGTGGTTAGACACGAGCTAGCGATCTCGTCAATTTACCGGCGCGATTGTTCTTGAGTGCGCTCCACCAGGTCCAGAGGTCGAGATCCACCTCTATCGTTGTGCAGGACGAGTACATTAACGATGTGGCTTATAACTCCATAGAACTATAAGACGGTGTTGCGTTGGTCTTTCCCATTCAGCGAGAATACAAGGGTAATGCAGTGAACACATTGCTTGAGCGAAACAATGGTATTGACGGCTGAGGCGGCAGTCAGATGAGAAAAGCTACCACCTACACAGGTCTGAGACTAGAATGGTCCTCATTGCTGGCAGTCCTGGTGAACGGCATTCCTCAAAATCTCACGTCCTCCCTCTCCGCTTGAATCGCCTCTAGGATGAGTGCTGGGGTTTCTTTGTCAGACACACTGCCAAAGCACCGTCGGATTCCTTGGGCTCTTGAGCTTACCCGGTCTCTGACTCAAGGTGAGCAGTTACTTTGGGCGGCAGGTAACAGCATTCCTACCTAGGTAGGTAGGTATTTGTAAGCCCAGTCTAGGTATAGGTGCTTTGCAGTCATGCTCAAACCGTGAGGCAGCTGATGGGCAGAGTTGGGCTTGGCGAGCCTTGCTTACTCATACCGTAGAAGTGCCTCGTGACCCTTGGGTGTTCGCGCCAAGACCAGTGACTTTATCTGCGCCGGGGTGTTTCCGATAGGGTCGCCCAGCGTTGCCGTGCAGCTGATCGCCCCTTGCCCTACAACAGCTACGCAGTTGCGCCGCCTCGCATGACACCATCTGGTCCGGTCCTGTTGATCGCAGCTTGGCCGCTTTCTCCAAATCTGTCAATGTATCAACTGTCCCGTTAAAACGTCGTCTACAGTACAATCTGCTGCTCTCTGCTTCATTCTCGTCTCATAATTCCACCCGAGCCATATCCCACCATGGTCCGCAAAACGTCCTCTGGTTTCTTCTCGTCCATTCAGGAAGATATGCCATTTCGCATATCCCGAGGCTACGACCAAATTCTCCAGCATACTGCCTACCCACCCTGCACGTTACCTCTCAATCCTCAGAAAGAGAAATTCTCTCCAGAAAGATATACTCAGCCGTACATAGACTTCATGACCGAGAACCCCACCATCTTTCATGCCGTCGACTATTTCGTCGAGAAGCTAAACCAGGATGGCTACGTATATCTCTCAGAACGAGAACAATGGAAGATTAAGCCCGGTGGAAAATATTACACGAAGCGGAACAACAGTGCATTCATTGCCTTTGCCGTTGGGAAAGACTACAAGCCTGGAAACGGTGTGGGTATCGTCGCTGGTCATATCGATGCCCTCACTGCAAAGGTCAAGCCGATTCCCAAGTTGCAGACAAAAGCCGGCTATGTTCAGCTTGGTGTCGCACCCTATGCTGGTGGGATGAACATGACTTGGTGGGATAGAGACTTGGGCATCGGCGGCAAGGTTCTCGTAAAGACCGACAATGGAACAATAGAAGAGAGGCTCGTCAAGCTGGACTGGCCCATCGCACGAATACCCACACTCGCACCCCACTTTGGGGCAGCTTCCCAGGGCCCGTTCAACCCAGAAACAAATATGGTTCCCATCATTGGACTTGACAACTCGGATCTCTCGGGGAAGGAGCTGCCTTCCCTGAAGCTGCCTGCGGGTACTTTTGTCGCGAGACAACCAGAGCGTCTCGTGCGAGCGATTGCAGGGAAAATGGGTATCACAGACTACACTTCTATTGTCAATTGGGAACTCGAGCTTTTCGACGTCCAGCCCGCCCAACTCGGTGGCTTGGACAAGGAGTTTATATTTGCAGGCAGAATCGACGACAAGCTTTGCTGCTTTGCTGCCATTGAAGGGCTTCTGGCGTCCCCCGACGACGCGTCGCCTGGCATCATCAAGATGGTTGGGTGCTTCGACGACGAAGAAGTGGGAAGCTTCTTAAGGCAAGGTGCAAGATCTAATTTTATGCCCAGCACCATCTCGAGGATCTGCGAGGCCTTGAACGACTACGACTGTGGCCCCAACCTCATCAATCAAACATTGGCAAACTCGTTCCTGGTCTCTTCCGACGTGATTCACGCAGTCAATCCCAACTTCCTTTACGCGTATCTGGAGAATCACTCGCCGCGCTTGAACGTTGGAGTTGCTGTCTCTGCGGACCCCAACGGACATATGACCACCGACAGCGCCTCAACTGCTCTGTTGTCTCGAATTGCCGAGAAATGTGGTAGCACCTTGCAGGTGTTTCAAATTCGCAATGACAGTCGGAGCGGAGGCACTATTGGACCCATGACTAGGTATGTCCCTCCCGAACCCAATTTAGGATTATGGATACTAACTGCGGGGTGCTTGAAGCTCAAGATTAGGCTGTCGTGCAATCGACTGCGGCATCCCTCAGTTATCAATGCATTCAATCAGAGCTACCACTGGGTCGCTCGACCCGGGTCTCGGAGTTCAACTGTACAAAGGGTTCTTCGATTATTATGAGGAGGTCGACGCCGAGTTCACTGACTAGAATAGACAGGATTGTTAGAACAGATGTAACACTATCACACCATAGAGAAACTAGAAACTCGTGATCTTTTGGGGAGAGCGTCCAATACGAATGAGAGGTTTTGCATCAAGCCACCTCTATACACAGCTGCAATGGCATGTCAACTGATAAACACGGGACTTGTACGCCCTTCACTTCACCTCCTGTTCGACGTGGTGTTCACAATCACTAACCTGCTTTGATCGACTCAGTGAGAGTCCTTGGTGAATCGGACACTACGAAACAAAGTCAAGCAATAAAGATCTCTTTCAAGCTTCTTTATCTGAGATGCTCTGGCACTCTGCATATATTCCCATTTTCTTTGTTTCCAAGGCTTCACTTGAGCCTTGGATACAAGCTGCAAAGAGCCGGTTCTATTCTTTGTGTGAAGGCCGCACTACCTGTGCCTTGACATGTGCGGGAGAAACGAGCCTCGGCGGGTATTTCAGCCTTATATAACTTGGAAGAGAATCACGCAAGCTCAAGTTGTCTTTAACATACAGAAATAGCTCGATCAATCAAAGACGTCGAACTTCCCATACCGACTTCTCTCAGAGTGCTTTCAACTCCCCAACCATGGCCTCATCGATGGCTGCAATAGAACAAACCGCACCTTCCTACGAGCAGCGTCTTGCCCTCTCGCGCGTTCTGCTTAGTCTATTCAGACTGATTGATCAAGATGTGGTCTTCAACACTAAGGTGAGGGAGAACGAAGGGTCGGTGATGGACCTCGATGAGGGCGACATCCAGCCACACTCTGACATGGACCTCGAGGAAGGCGAAATCCCACCACA